AGATGCTGGTCCCCACGGACACCGCCAGCTTGGGATTCCGAATGGCATTGGTAGGGATCACGCCCGAGTGGTTGGAACATTGCGAGACGGAGGATCAGACGCAGGAGGGGTCGTGCTAGCGTGCTGGACAAGCTGATTCGGATAGTATGTTTCGTTGGTCATGGGCTCTGATCGCTGATTCAAGGCGGAAATCGCACGAGCCTCCGGGGGGTAGAGAGCACATAGTATAGTACAACTGAAACAAGCAATGCAAGGCGTGCGCCGAAGAGACGCCAACACACGAAACAAAGAAAACGTAAGAACATCGAACAACACGGTTGTGATAAGGCTGGGGCGTGGTGAGTTCGGCCATCAACACGGATTGCAGCAGGTGTGGCCGTAGTGTTGCCGTATGCCTTTCTCCAGGCCGCTCCGCAGTAGCAGGGTTTGTTGCGGGAGCACTCGCAATATCTGCAAGGCATGCGCGCGCGCAAGGTCAAGCTATTGCGTACACGCCGGTCGTTGAAGGTAGGTATTTTCGGACTCCCAGATCCCAGTCTTTTTCAAGCGCCTTCCTACCTCAAGAATCGACGCGCTGTTGCCGTGCTTTGTTATTCTCCGGGGGGGCCTGAACCCCATCAACTGAATCCGCCTTCCTACTTCATGTTCTTACCTGCTTCTTCCAGCCGACGTGCAAGTGTGGAGCGGCGGCCGCAGAGGGTGTGGTTACGCGGGTGTGTGGTCTGCGACCTGCGTCGCTGGGCGGCGGGCCTCCTCGGGGCGAGGCCGAGGACTCCGTCGAGATCCCCGCCCGGCCCCCCAGGGTGCGCGGTGCAGACAGCACGCTCTGCGAGCCGCATCGTTCGGAGTCGCCGAGCGGAAGACGTGTTCATAGAACAGCGTATGCACAAGTTTCCCATCACCGATTGTTCGTAGCGCGCGCCGACTGTACTTGTTGGGGCAATCGCGTCAATGGCATGTCGCGATATGCGAGCAACCTCAGGCATGTAGCTTCCCCACCCGAAACAGGGATGCACCTCCGGCCTCTAGGGGAGACACCCCTCTTGCTCCTCACCTTTCATACTAATTGACTATGCCCTCAATTCACGCGTAGCCTGCGCTTAGCTTGGGTATAGTTAGTCATGGCATAGGTTTCGTCGTACCTTTGGCTTGTTTTTGGCGTGCCTATAGGTTAGACAGCCTTCTACTTGCAGTCAGCATGCCTCAAGTTTGTCGTGAATCGTGCTACTCAGGCTTACTCGTTGCTTCTTTGGATCATGCAGTTAGCTTTCTATTCCACTGCCGTCATTGTGTTTTGTTTCCTCGCGTTTGGCGTGCCTTGAGGTTGTCTTAGGGCTTGGGCTTAGCTTGTCTCTAGGGGACGCCTTTGAACCTCATGTGCCTGTCGTGAGGTTGCTTTGAGCGCTCACTGCATCGCGTGTATATGGTGTTGTCCTCTGCGCTGCACATCCAGCTGATGCTTTGCATGTTGAATGGCTGCCTGCAGCTTGCTCCAGCCAGCCCAGGGAGCTCGGCGAGGAGGAGAGCGAGAGAGAGAGAGAGAGCGAGACAGAGACAGACGGGCGGAGAGGCGACCTCGGTGTGGGTCGCGGCGGATTCGCCGCGCCAGAGTCATGTGCGCGGACATGTCGGGTGGCAGTGGGAAGTGCGGCTTACAGTCTGCCCGGATGTGTGGGTCGACCCTGCCAAGTCAAAGGTGCCCTTGTGTCCTGTGTCTCGCGATCCATGCCTCCTGCATTCCTGTGGCAATGTGGCCCTCGGAAGGGTCTTGTGTCCTCTCGCGTGTCCTGTCCAACCGAGTCCGACTGTAGGCGGTTGGACAAAATTCGGCAGTTGAATTGAATGTCTTTAGTCCAAGATGCAGTTCGTCTCCTTAGCAAGCGCTTTGTAACTCATCATTGTTTTTGGGGGAAGCGTCCATGGGCGCGTTTCTAGTGTGAGCCCTTGATTTCTTTGACAGCGTCGGCTTTTAGCGAAACTTGTTTAGATGATGGCTGTAGTGTTGAAGCATCAGGCTAGCATCTCGATGGCATTGACATTCACTAGTTTTTGCAGGCGATCGTTTCAAGGACAGAGCAAACTTGGTCATACGGTTCTTGCGGAGCGAGAGAGCGAGGGACCGCATGGCCCGTTGTAAAACACAATGCATGTCCTCCTCCTCCTCCTCCTCCTCCTCCTCCTCCTCCTCTTGAGCTTCCTCCGTCCTCTCTCTTCCCCTTCCCCGCCCCTCCCTCCTGCTCCCCCTTCCTCCCTCCTGCTCCCCATCCCTCCCCAGACCCCCGACGTCATGATTTTTTCATGACGCGCCCCCCAGAGGTCCAGACCCTTTCCCTATGACCGGTTTTTCGTCCTGAGTCGTTTTTTGACGCTCCCGAGGCCCGGTGAGGGCCCCTGGAGGCCGAAAATAGGGAAAACCCCCCCGTCGTGATTTTTTCATGACTCGAGGGGGTCTGGGTCCCTCGTCCCCCCTCGCCCCGGGAACTCTGACGTCACGAGTTTCTCACCACGTGCCCCCCGGAGGCCTGGGCCCCTGCCCCGCGACCGGCCTTTCCTCCCTGGCCGTTGCTTGCTCCCGGTCCTGCAGGGGGCCCAGGGAGAACTCCCGGAGGCCGAAGCCTGCCAAGGTCCTCCCGTCGTGCTCGTTCTGCGGCGCGAGGCCCAGACCTCCTCGAGTCATGAAAAAATCACGACGGGAGGTTTTTCGCTCTTTTCGCCCTCTCAGGGCCCTTACCGGACCTCGGGACCGTCAAAAAACGACTCGGGATGAAAAACCGGTCCCGGGGAATGGGTCTGGACCTCTGGGGGTCGCGCCATGAAAAAATCATGACGGCGGGGGTCTGGGCTCGAGGGAGGGGGGGCCTCGCCCCTGATGGACTCCGCCGAGCCTCCCGCGCCGCGCTGCTCCCAGGGCGGGCTGCCGCCCGCCCGCCTGCAGGTGTGGCCCCGGGCTCGCAAAAGCTGCTGCAGCCGTGGCGGGGCCGGCGCCCGCGGAGCGCCCGCCCGACCAGTGGCAGCCCCCGGCGTCGTCGGCGGCCGCCTAACACACGCAGCAGGCGGGAGAGAGCTCGCCGCCTCGTCGGCGGCGTGGCGCCCGCGGGTGCCGCCCGTGGCGTGCGACCCGCCCTGGCTGGGGTGGCCTTCCTCTGCCGGCCGCGGCCCCTGTCGCGAGGCCCGCTCCGTCGCCCTGCGCGCTGCCGCCCACTTCCCCCGCGCCTATGCGCCTCCTGCTCCTCCGGCCGCCGGCGCCGGCGGAGCCGCTCCGCCCCGCGCCCGGCCAGCTGCTCCTCCGTGCAGGGACGGCCTGGGGCCCCTGGGAGGCGCTGTGCTCTAAAGCAGCGGAGCCAGAACGGCTCCTCCTCCTCCACCACCTCCTCCTCCTCCTCCTCCTCCTCCTCCTCCTCCTCCTCCTTCTCTTCCTCTCCTCCACCACCACCTCCTCCTCCTCCTCCTCCTCCTCCTCCTCCTCCTCCTCCTCATCATCATCATCATCATCATCATCATCATCATCATCATCATCATCCTAGGCATCGCCATCACCATCATCAGCATCATCAGCAGCATCATCGTTATCAGTTCGCCCCCTGATGTTCCCGGAAGACCTTAGTCGTCATGATCATCTTCCTCATCGTTTTTTCTTCTTCCTGTTTCTACTTATCTCCCCCTCCTTCTCCTCATCCTCCTACGTCTTATCGCCCCCTCCTCCTCCTCTACCCGCTCCTCCCACATCATCATAATCATCATCATCATCATCATCATCATCATCATCATCATCATCATCATCATCATCATCATCATCATCATCATCATCATCATCATCATCGTCATCGTCATCGTCATCGTCATCATCAGCAGCAGCAGCATCAGCATCATCATCAGCATCATCAGCATCATCATCAGCATCATCAGCATCATCATCGCAGCAACGCCATTCGTAATCGCCATCATCAGCATCATCACCATCATCAGCATCATCATCAGCATCGTCATCGTCGTCATCATCATCAGCATCATCACAATCAGCATCGTCATCATCATCAACAACAGCATCGGCATCATCATCATCATCATCATCCTCTTCATCCTCATTATCCGCATTTCCAGCATCATCATTTTCATCATCATCGGCAGCAGCAGTATCCTCGTCATCCTCATCATCATCAGCATCGGCATCATCAGCAGCCTTACCATCATCACCATCAACAGCATCATCATGATCAGCCTCATCAGCATCAGTCTCATCCTCATCATCATCAGCATCAGCATCACCATCATCAGTACCATTATCATCATCATCAGCAGCAGCAGCATCATCATCATCAGCGCCATCATCTTTCCGCCCCCTGAGGCTTCCGAAGGACTAGAAATTCCAACATCGTCATAATCATCCTCATTATCCTCCTCCTCCTCCTCCTCCTGCCCATCATCATCATAATTCCGCCCCCTGAGATCTCTAGAAAACCCCGAACGTTCAGACGTTGCCATGTTTTCGTTTTGTTCATCCTAGTTTTGCTTCTCCTTCACCTCCTCCTCCTCCTTGTTCTCCTTTTCCTTCTCCTCCTCGTTCTTTTCCTCCTCCACCCCGCGCTCCTCCTCCTCCTCCTCCTCCTCCTCCTCCTCCTCCTCCTCCTCCTCCTCCTCCTCTTCTTCCATCCACACGCCCCTCCTCCTCCTCTTCCTCTTCCTCCTTCTTCTCCTCCATCACAACGCGGGACTCTTCCGCCTCCGCCTATTCCTCCTCCTGCTTCTCTTCATCCTCCTCGTCCGCCTCCTCTGGTCCTCCCCGCCGCTCCCGATCGCAGGAGGAGGCAGGACAGGCAGGCAGAAGGACGAAGGGGAAGGGGGGAGGAGGGAGGGGGGAGGCGGATGGGAGAAGGGGGAAACGAGGGGGACGGAGAACACTTGTATCTACATCGATCCTCCTCCTCCCCCCCAGTCCTCCTAACCTCCTCCCCTTCGATCCTCGATCTTTCTCGCCCTCCTCGATCCTCCTCATTCTTCCTCGATCCCCGATATTCCTCGGCCCTCGTCGTCCTCCTGAACGCACGCGACGGAGACGTGTGGCGGGCGGCCGCAGGGCAGCTGAAGAAGATCGCCGAGGTGTTCAGCAGGTTCAACTCTTCCTCCTCCTCCTCCTCCTTCTCCTCCTCCTCCTCCTGCTGCTCCTCCTCCTCCTCCTCCTTGTTGTAATCATCATTTTTCCTCATGCTCCTCCTCCTCCTCCTGCTCCTCCTCCTCCTCCTCCTCCTCCTCCTCCTCCTCCTCGTTATAATCATTATTTTTCCTCCTGCTCCTCCTCCTGCAGGTTCAACGTGGGCATCGTCTCGATCCACGTCCAGAGCGGCATCGCCGACAACGAGAAGGGGGACTTCGTGCCGGCCGCGCGGCAGCGGGGCGAAGCAGCGGAGGAGGCGGAGGAGCAGGAGGACAACTAAGGATTATAACGAGGAGGAGGAGCAGCAGGAGGAGGAGGAGCAGGAGGAGGAGGAGGAGGAGGAGAGAGAAGCGAGAAGGAGGAGGAGAGAGAAGGAGGACCAGGCCGAGAAGGAGCAGGTGGAGGAGTAGAACGAGAATGGGGGAGGAGGAGGACCAGCAGCAGCAGCTCGGGTGCACGCCCACCGCAGCAGAGACCCGGGTCGCGAACGGCAGGGTGTAGTTAGTAGGCAGGAGTGTGTTATTGTGGGATATCGTGAGCTGGCGGTGTCTCAGCAGCAGGAACAGCAGCAGGGGGAGGATGTCGGGAGGTTCGCCCGTTTTTGTTGCCCTCCTTGAGCCTCCACAGGCCTCCAGCGATTTATAGGAGAAGAGGAGAACGAGGGCGCGGATAAAGATTAGTTTTTAACCTGCCAGAGAGAACTATCATTCCTACCCTGACGTAACTCGTGGCTGGTGGGTGAGGCCACTGCTGCAACATTGACCAACACAATCCCGGGTGACATCCTGTTCACGAAATCGTTCGAAATCAGTTTGCCTTGTCTCAGGTAGTGGCGGCTTCCAGGAGACGGTTTCTGGGAGACGCTCGGGTCGTGAAAAGAATTGGTGTTCCAGACAGAACGCACAATTCCGTCCGCCTTCGCAGGCGAGGATTGCATACGGCACCGTGCAACAGACGAGCGGCTTAGTCGAAACCAGGCCCGCACTCTCCTCTGCATAGTCCCGTGGCCGCCGCAGCCTCAGAGGAGGCAGGGTTCTTGGGAACCCAATTGGTTAGCCCCAAAAATGCTTCGGGAAAGGTTTTCGAAATTAGGTCGCCAGGGCAGGTTCTACCCCAGGAAATACCATAGTCCTCTGTGCGGGGGTCTGTCAGAAGGGCGGCAGCCCTTACATCAGGGGCAACGCTAGGGGAGGGGGGACGGGCTACGGGGGGAAGGCATCGACCCCCAATCGCCCATTCCTCGCCGATCGGGGCCCGAGAGCGCACCCCGCCCACGAACGCGGGGTTCTGCCATCGGGGCCCCATCGCCGATCCATCGGCGACGCATCGCCGATGCCAGCTCCACGCTTCCCCCCCTGAGCTGGCCATCCTCCTCCTCCTCCTCCTCCTCCTCCTCCTCCTCCTCCTCTTTTTTGTTACGTTGGGCAAACATCAGGTGTGCATCCTGTTGCGTTCTGTCCTCCTCCTCCTCCTCCTCCTGCTCCTCCTCCTCCTCCTCCTCCTCCTCCTCCTCTCCTCCTCCTCCTCCTCCTCCTCCTCCTCCTCGTCCTCCTCCTCCTCCTCCTCGAGTGCCAAACACGCACTCGTGGGGCGGGACCACCGCCCGAGGTCGTGTGCCCCAGGCGACCTGCCGCTCCGGCTCCAGAGCACAAGCATGGCAGGCGAAGCTTCGGCCACGAGGGGGCAGGGCTGGACTCAAGCGCTGTCTTGCTGGACTTTAGCTGTGCTCTGTGTGCTTTGGTTTGGCGGGGAGGCACAGGGAAACAGGTGGAGCCAAAACGAACATCAAAACGAAATCAGAACGGAAAACAACGTTTAGGTTTAGGTCGGGCATGTCCCCCTACAGGGGGATTTTGGATGCAAAATAAAGATTGCCAATAAATGCCCAGAACATTTTCAAACAGAGGAAAGCCAAACAATGTTATGAGAACCTTTTGTGGCTTCCACGAAATGTTCTTGTCACATTTCTGGCTGGGACTGTCTTGTTTCAACTCGTCGGGCTTCTGCTCCAAGAACACTGCTCTTGTTCCTACAACACGTTTGGGTTCTGAAGACATTTCCTGGTGGGCCTGTAGGAATGCCGGGACGGTCGTTTCCTGTTCAAGTAGAGGGGCATCCCTGAGATCCGACGTTGCAGAAAAAATGCAGCATCGCAGAAATCACGCCCGGAGACCCGGACTTCATCTTTCCGCGTCATTTTCCGAGCCCGATCGATCTGTGAGGGTCCCGGGGCCCGAAATCGAGCGAAAGCGCCTGTTGCAACAAAAACTGCAACGCCAGGATCTCAGGCATGCCCGACCCAAGTTCCGGTCCAGCCCTGCACAGGGGCAGCGGACGGCTGCGGAGACTGCGGGCCGGCCCGGCCACCCTCGCGCGCTCCTCGCGCGGGGCCCGGCCCGCGGGCCTGGCGAGAGGGCGCCGCGCCTTCGGCGTGCCCGCTGCCCCGAAGTCGGGCCTGTCCCTGCACCGGGGGGCGATGTTTGACGACTTGTTTGCTGAGCTGGGGGACGATGTTTTTGGTTTGCTACTTTTTTGATTTCGTGGATTATGTATTGATCACTGTTTGGATTCTCTTGGGGGCGAATGACGTCTCCTGTAGTAGTCTGGGGGCGATGTTTTGGATCATGTCTTGACCCTTTGGGGGTCTTCTTGGACAATTCTTGAGTCTTCGCCCGAAATGCCTCTGTTCAGCGAGCGAAGAACGGTATGAAATAAACTTTCCGCCGTCGGAGACACCTGCCCCTGGGCGGCTGGAAAGTTTACACCCCTACGGTGCCACCGTAAGGGTATAAACATTTTTCAGCCGCCCTGGGACAGGCGCCCCCGACAGCGAACAAGTTTATTTTACACCGTTCTTCGCCCGTTAAAAAATGCCTCTGTGGGAGGACGGGCCCGACTTGACGCTACCCCCCGTGCGGCAAGTTCGCGCTGTGCCGACCGGCGGCGACCCCAGCGCGGGCGTTTCAGGTTGAACGCCGCCTGTGGCCCAGAATCGGCCCATCCTTGACGATGTCTGGACCATCTGGGAGTCTCTCTGGGCCATTTTCTGTGGTTATTGTTTTGTTTATTTTGGGGACGAAGTGCATTTCCTGTAGTAGTCTGGGGGCGACTTTTTTGATTGTGTTTGGACCATCTGGGGGTCTTCTTGGACCATGTTCGTAGTCTTCGTCCAAAATGTCTCTGTTCAGCGAGCGAAGAACGGTATAAAAGAAACTTTCCCGACAGCGCAAAAGTTTTGATCACTTTGGGGACGAACGACGTTTCCTGTAGTAGTCTGGGGGCGATTTGGGGGGTCATGTTTGGACCATCTGGGGGTCTCTCTGGACCATGTCGTAGTCTTCGTCAAAAAAAAGCCTCTGTGGGAGGACGGGCCCGACTTGACGCTAATCACCCCCCGTGCGGCAGGCTCGCGCCGTGCCGACGGGGCGGCGGCGGCCCCCCGCGCGGGCGTTGCGGGCGGAGCGCCGCCCGTGGCCCTCCTCCTCCTCCTCCTCCTCCTCCTCCTCCTCCTCCTCCCCCTCCTCCTCCTCCTCCTCCTCCTCCTCCTCCTCCTCCTCCTCCTCCTCCTCCCCATCCCCATCCTCACCCTCGCCCTCGTCCTTATCCTCATCATCCTCCGCACCCTCACCCTCATCCTCATCCTCGTCCTCCTGCACCCATCCTTGAACGGTCCGGCCCTCTTGAAGGGGCCGATCGTTCAAGTGGGAAGGCTCCCAGAACAAAGGCCCTCTTGAAAGGCCCCAGAACGGGCCTTCTTGACAGGGCCGATTGTTCAAGTGGGAAGGATCCCCGCGGTGTCAGGAGCCAGCGCCGGGGTCGACACGGCGCAAGCTTGCCACACCCAGAGCCAGATCTTCGCGGGGAGACCCAGCTTCCAGAGGGTCACGGTGAAAACGAGAGTTCGCAACATCGGCAGTGAGAGGGGACGCGTTCACAGCCGGGAAAAACGCTCAAACGACGGAAGGTGACGCTCAAACACATTCGCTTGCGCTCGTAGAGGACGCTCAAACGACGGAAGGTGATGCTGATTGACGACCGCCACGCAGTCAGAGAGCCTTCCGTCTGCAGACACGCCATCGCAATGGTAATAAAATCCGCAACGGGAGCGGCATGATGAGGCGGGCAATTCATTGGGTCACGCACTGCGTGCGCACTGAACCTCGCCACCCAGCCCTGCTGAGCTCAGGGAGGAGGAGGTGGAGGAGGAGGAGGAGGAGGAGGAGGAGGTGGGGATGAAGGGGGAGGAGGAGGAGGAGGAGGAGGAGGAGGAGGAGGAGGAGGAGGAGGAGGAGGACAGCGGAGGAGCAGCAGCAGGGGGAGGAACAGGAGGACTGGGTTGGAGGCCCGACAGCGGGGACCTGGGTCCAGGGCCTGCTTCCCTCGTTCTCCTCTCCTCCTTCCCCCCCCCCCTTCTCCCCTCTCCTCCCATCCTTCCTCTCCCCCTCCCTGGCCCATCCTTTTCCTCCTCATCCTCCCGTCCTTCTCTCCTGCTCCTTCACTCCTCCTCCTCCTCCCCCCTGCTCTCCGCCCCTTCCCCCTCGTCCCCGCCCACCTCTCCCAGGCTCTCGCGCTGCCCTGCGTGCCCCGACTTGCCCCGCCGCCCCCCCCCCCCCCGGCGCCCCTCGGCCGAGCGCTTTCTGCTGCGCCCGCCGCGCTTGGCGCAGCCCCCCCAGACATGCTCGCGTCGAAACAAAAATCACGACGGGAGGTTTTCGGCATTGTTCGGCCCCGGGGGGGCCCTCGCCGGGCCTCGGGACCGTCAACAAACGACTCGGGACGAGAAACCGGTCCCGGGGAAGGGGTCGGGACTCGCGGGGACGCCCGTCCTGAAAAAATCCGGACGTCGCATGCCTGGGCCGAACTCTCGTGTGGTGTATGCGGTTGTGTCGTGTGGAGGAGTGGCACTTGCCCAGCGTGGCTCCGAAGAGCCCTGCGGACGTGCCCACGACAAGCCTTCAGTCGGGCACGTGCCTCTACAGGATGAGTATTCGGAAATTGTCCAAAAATAGTTAGGGGACGATGTCCCGGCCATTCTTTGACTATAGTTGAATATTTGCTGACACTGTTTTATTTTCTTCACCCGAAATCCGCATGTAGGAGGACATGCCCGACCTAAGACTAGCCTCAAGATGAGGCTGCTGGTGTGCCCTGAGGAATATGATCTGGACGAGACGGGGTGACCTCTTGCCTTGCCGTTGCTGGTTGGCGAGCCTCGGTCCCGTTTTTCTGCGGGAGGACGGGGTGAGGAGGAGGCGGACGACGACGATGATGGATGGTGAGGATGGGGGAGGGTAAGGTTGATGACAGGACTGAGGAGAGGTGGAAGGAGGATGCGGAGCATGCGACGGCGGAGGAGGAGCACGGAAGGGATGAGAAGGATGAGGAGGAGTTGGAGGGTTGGGCACGCAAGAAGAGGAGCAGGAGGAGGAGGTGGAGGAGGAGGTGGAGGATGAGGAGGAGGAGGAAGAGGAGGAGGAGGAAAAGGTGGAGGGGTGAGGAGCGGACCCATGAATCCTATGTCTGGGCAACGTGGAAATGGAGGAGCAGCCATGAGGAGCAGCAGGAGGAGGAGGAAGGTGACAAGGCGGCGGGGGAGGAGGAGGAGGAGGAGGAGGAGGAGGAGGGAGGAGGAGGCGGAGGAGGAGGAGGAGGAGCAGGGAAGAGGATGAGGAGGAGGACGAGGAGGACGAGGAAGAGGAGGAGGAGGAGGAGGAGGAGGAGAGAGAAGGAGGAGGAGGAGGAGGAGGAGGGGAAGAGAAGGAGGAGGAGAAGGAAGAGGAGGAGCAGGGAGAGGAGGGCGAGGAGGAGGAGGAGGAGGAGGAGGAGGAGGAGGCATGAGGACAGCGGAGTACGAAGAGGAGGGGGAGAGGAGGAGGGGAAGAGGAGGAGGAGGAGGAGGAGGGAAGAGGGGGAGGAGGGAACAGCATGGGGACAGTGGAGTCTCGAAGAGGAGGGGGAGGAGGAGGATGAGGAGGAGGAGGACGAGGAGGAGGAGGACGAGGAGGACGAGGAGGAGAGGAGGAGGAGGAGGAGAGGAGGAGGGGAGGAGGAGGAGGGGGGGAGGAGGAGGAGGAGGAGAGGAGGAGGGGGGAGGAGGAGGAGGAGGAGGAGGAGGAGGAGGGAGGGAGGGAGGAGGAGGAGGAGGAGGAGGAGAAGGAGGGAGGAGGAGGAGGAGGAGGAGGGAGGAGGAGGAGGGAGGAGGAGGAGGAGGAGGAGGAGGAAGGAGCTGCGCTGCCGGCGCGCGAGGCCTCCGGCGGCCCGCTCGGCGAGAACCGCGTGCGGATAGTCTTTGACGAGTCCGCCCTTGACGCGGGGGCCCTGGCGCGGCCCGCGAGTCTCGCGCCGCCTCGGCGGCGCGCCCCCTCGCCCTCCTGCTCGTCCTGCTCCTGCTCGTCCTCGCCCTACCTCGTCCTTGCCCCTCCCTTCCTCGTCCCTTCCGTCCTCGTCTCCTCCTCCCGTCCACGTCGGCTTCCTCCACTCTTGTTTCCTTCCAGATATCTTCTCCCCTGTCGCACCCCGAGGCCAGTTTCTAGGGCGGGCCGAGCGTTTCGCTTGAGACTTCCTCACCACTTATGATTCTGAAGCGTAAAATATGGCAAGAGTTTCACGGATTGAGGGCGGGTGGTCTTCAAAACGCGGCTCTCGCCTTAGCGTCGCGCGCATTCCTATTAAGATATTGCAAAAGCTTCACGGATTGAGGGCGGAGGGTTTTCAAAATACGGCTCTCGCCTTGGCGCCGCGCGCATTCCTTTCAAACATTTGCAAGAGCTTCACGGATTGAGGGCGGGTGGCTTTAAAAAATCGGCTCTTGCCTTGGCGTCGCGCACATTCGTTTTAACAAGTTGCAAGAGTTTCACGATTGAGGGCGGGCCGTTTTCAAAATGTGGCTCTCGCCTTAGGGCCGCGCACATTTCGTTAACACAAATGCAAGAGTTTCGATGATCGAGGGCGGGTGGTTTTCAAACTGTGGCTCTCGCCCGGGCGCCCCGCACATTCGTTTAAAACATTGTGCACGAACAACGTACTAGAAATAGTGTTTTGGAAGGATTCGGGATTATGCGGGTGCAACAGTTATGTTGGTTCGCGGTGTTGAAGTAGCAAACACGGCGTTCTGGCACGATTCCAGATCGTCAGGTCGCAGCAGTCGGGTTGATCCGTGGCGTGGAAATCCCGAGAACAATTATTTGGCATGCTTCAAGGTCTTCAAACGGCTGTCTTCCAACGAGGCAGTTCCCTCAACGGAAATGAACCGATGTAGGGGCCTATGAAGAGGGAGCTTGGAGGGAGGGTGAATTTCAACATCGTTGATGACTCTTGGATTTACGCTGGTCCGCCTCCTCCTCCTTCTCCTCATCATCATCGTCTTCATCCCGTCCCTGGTCCTCGGCCCCCAACCACGATGGACGTGTCCTGTTTCAGCTTTCGGCCTCCGAGCCCCAGGGCCCGTCAACAAAACGGCTTGATGTAAAAAGCCGGCCTTGCGAAAGGGGTCCAGATCTCCAGGGTCCACGCTGCGAAAAAAACGTACTGTCGGAGTTGTCGGTTCCAAGGGTTCTCAGACGACACACGTGGCGTCTCGAATGTCTTGAGGTCTCCAAGACGCCGCAGGAGTGCTCCAAAAGAGGATCTCCAAGAGGGCATCGAGAGGCAAACATCGCTCCCTTCCCAAAGGCAGCGTGCATTGTCTGCATAGGCGCTGTTTTAGTTTGAACCCCGTGTAAGCAGACCCAAGAGGCCCCGCACATCGCTCCGAGGCGGCCCAAGAGGCTCAGAGGGGGCCCCAAGACGGCCCAATAAGTCCCGAAGACGGCCAAAGAGGGGCCCAAGATGGGGAACCCGAGCAGACATGTCGAACCCTCCGCCCCCAAAACGGCCCTCGAGGCCGCTAACTGGTCGCCAAGAGTCCCCCACAATGCCCCCAGGAGGCCCCCGGAAACATCCAGAAGTCCCAACATAGAGCTTAAAGAGGTTCCCAAGAAGCCCCAAGAGGCTTCAAAATTGCCTTGAAGACGCCCTCGAATGGAAAGAAGGACATGTCTGGGTCGTAGGGTCTGGGTCAGAGGAGCGCGTCCGGTTGGAGACCAGCGACGCTGCTGATCCAGAAGAGCAGCTTGGCGCGGCCACTGATTTTCTTTCAGAACTTCGCGCCGCTCTCAAGGATCTTGGAACAAGGCTAGGTGCGAGGCAATGCGCCTGCAGGATCATGTTGAGTGGAGTGTCACCCTTCCCCTGGTGTCTTCCAGCGTCTGCTTGCCGGAAATCCTGAAGAGGGCGTCGCCAAGGCCGCCGGCATGTCAGAAACAGCGCTGCGAACGTACAGCGAGCAATTTCTGGACAGACAGGAGACGTGTGACGGGCCATCTGTGGGAGCATACTTTATCACGCCTGCTCAAACACGGCCAGAATGTGCTGGGCACTCGGACATATTTGTTCCTCTTGTAAGAAACTCTCGGGCGCTCCCGCCAAAAAAAGGTACCTGCCAAGAAACCGTCGGAAGCAAGGATGACCCACCCAAGAGGCCCCAATAAACCCCAAAGCGCCCCAGGAGGGCTGCATTCGAACGTTTTCGAGATTTGGCCGTAGACAAAGGAGGGCGCCACAGGATCGCCCGAGAAACCACAAATACACCTCCAGCTCCAGCCCAAGCGATTCGAGTCCTGCACGCTCTCAGGCTCCAGTGTGCGTGTGTGTGTTCACATAGGCCGCGACCAGACAGATAAGAGGGCCTCAAGATGCTCCAACAGGATTTAGCCGTAGCCATTCTGGCTCAAGGAACGTTGCGCGTTGAAACGCTGGTGCGGTAAGGCAACTCCTCCTCGCAAGGGCCACATCTGATCTTTCCGCTGCTGGACGGAAGAAAATCCACCAAATGCGCGGCTAAGCCGTTCGTGCAATCGGTGCACATGGTCTTCAGCGACTTTTTAATAGAAGCTGAACTCAGGGAGCGAAGAAGATCACGGAGCGCGTGAGGGTGGCAAGCACCGCGAAGGTGTTGCTGGCGCTCTGCGATGGCGACTTCCCGAGCACGTGGCGCTGCAATAATATACATGGTCGCGGGCTCCGGGCCCACGGTCCCCCCCCCCCGGGATGGGATGGGTCCCAGTGTCCTCGGGCTCCCCCCCCGCCCCCCCCAGATGGGATGAGGGGGGGGAGGAGGAGGAGGAGGAGGAGGAGGAGGAGGAGGAGGAGGAGGAGGAGGAGGAGGAGGAGGAGGAGGAGAATGAAGAGGAGGAGCAGGGAGAGGAGGGCGAGGAGGAGGAGGCGGAGGAGGAGGAAGACGACGACGACGGCGACGATGACGACGACGACGTCGACGGCGACGACGACGACGACGACGACGACGACGACGACGACGACGACGGACGACGGACGACGGACGACGGACGACGGACGACGACGACGACGGACGACGACGACGGACGACGACGACGACGACGACGACGACGACGACGACGACGACGACGACGACGACGACGACAACGCCGACGACGACGACGACAACGACGACGTCGACGGCACCGGCGGCGGCGGCGGCGACGACGTCGAGCACCAGAGCTTTCCGAAAGCACGTCAGCATGACGCCACAAACACAGCCTCACGCACACCCACACCACACCCACAGGGGGGGAGGGGGGGAGGACATTGGGTCACCGCACACACACCCACAGCAACACACCACACCCACACCACATCCACAGGGGGAGGGGGGGGACCATCGCGCGGGGGGAGTGGGGGGGCCCGATGGCAGGGGGGGGCCCGATGGCATTAGCATGGCATATATCCAGCGCGCTGCGCGCTGCTGTCGCGGTCCGGGCGGTGTGCGCGAAGGACAAGATCGCCTGGGATGATGTCTGCAAGCCTACGTGGACCAGAAGGTGAGGAACACACACAGACAAAAGCCGCAAAGGCTTCGAGGTGGAGGACTTCGTGCCCAAGGGCATGGGCAGATTGGCGAGCGGCGTTTCCGAGCGGGTGGCTATAGATTTCGACCAGTCCGTAATTCAGCTACTGCGCAGCTGCGATTAGAAAGCTGATCATTGTGTCCGACGCGATCCCAAAGGAGGGCGGCAAGCATGGCAAGACGGCGGTCAAGGACAATCTGGGCATTTGGATCGATATCGCTGGGCTCTCCGATCAACTGCGGGCCTTCAAGGATGCTCGTACCGACGCTGTCGACATGCTATTCTCTTTTGGCGACAGCGAACTGAAGGATATTGGTTTCAAGGCTAGGCGCTTGAGGACGTTCAAGGCCGCGAAGGAGTGGGCCTCGGCTTCCCGGGAGGCCCGCGAGCGTTTAAGGGCGTCGAAGTTCGCGCAGACGAAGTGGGCGAAAACATCTTTGGCAACGGCGTTGACCTCCGCCAAACAATGCGCGGAAAGGAAGGCGAGAGACCGCTGGTCGAGCTGAACTTCACCGACGCAGGCTTGAGCTTCGAGGATGTCAAGACTTTGTGCGCAGTGCTCCCGCTGTTGTGCCTAATGAAGAAGCTCTACCTCGACAGTAACAACGCGAGCACCACCAGCGTGGATACTCTCGTGGAGGTGCTGCCGCGTATGGCTAGCCTGGAGCTTCTGAATCTAAGCAACAACAGCCCAGGCGAAACTGGCGCGGAGGATATTTAGAGAGTTTCCGCCTCCACCCCTCCTCCTTCCCCTCCGGGGAGGGGTTGACCCCTCCCCCTACCCCCTCCCCCTACCCCCTCCCCTGGACCTGGACGGGGGGGGGTCGCGAGGTGTCAGGGCGTCCAAAACGGCTTCGGCGAGGAAGCCAAAATCATTGGTTTTACGATGGTTTGGGCCCCAGTTTGGCCTCCTGATGGGGGGCGGTAATTAGTACCCCCCCTCCTGTGATCGATCTCGCCCAAGATGGCCCAAAGATGGCCCCCAAGGCTCCCAAGGGTGCCCCAAGAGGGCCCCAAGAGGTGGCCAGGAAGCCCCAAGAGGCCCCCAGGATGCCCCCAAGACGGTCCCAAGAGACCCCCAAGAGGCCCCAAGAGACCCCCCAGAGGCACCCAAGATGCTCCAAGAGGCCTCGGCGAGCATGCCAAATCATTGATTCCACGAAAGTTTTAGCCACATGTTGGCCTCTTGGGGGGGGCACTGATTATGATGACTCCAAGAGCGCTTGGGGGAGCCCACGATGACCTCCAAGATGGTTCAAGATATCCCAAGATGTCTCAGAATGGCTTCCTTTGTGTGCTGCCCACTTCCCTGGTCGACGCAATTCCTCTGGGCATCGTTTCTGGATGGGCTGGTGGGGACTCGCGAAGCGTCAACCGTTATACGTCTGCCACAACAGCGCGGGGATGCAAAAGGCGCGGAGGCGCTCGCGAAGGCGCTGCCGCACATGGCCAGCCTGCCTGCAAGTGGTGGATTTGGAGGGCAGCCGCGCGGGCGTCGACGGGAAGGCGGCCATCATCATGGCTCTGGCGCCAAGCAAGGTGACTCCGAGCATCTCGGGCATCATCGGGAAACTCTCGGGCACGCTGCGGTGACCGCGCGGAGCCGCGCGCGAGGGCTTCGCGTGGCCGCGCTGGGCCGCTCATCGCCCGCGTCGGGCGAGGGGGGCACAGCGCGGCGACGCCAGGCGGATCTCAACGAGGCGCAGGCGCGGCGGCTCCGGCAAAGGCCTGGGCCGAGCCCGCGCATGCGCCTCGCACATCAAAATCGCCAGCTGCCACGCCGCCCGCTTCCCCGGAGCGGCCGCTTCGTAAGGCGGCCGGGCGACCATCTCCAGTTTTTTTTTCTTCCGAGCTGGGGCGTGTGCCTGCCGCGTCAAACTGACTGGAGGCGGCCAGGGAGTTCCCCACGAGAGACCGAAACCTCAGAGACGGCGCGACCATCGTCCCATCGGGACTCTGACGCGGCCCATTCAACAATCAGGACGCCCGATTTTTGTGTAGTGGTCCGCCCTCGTCCCAGGAGGGGCCCCGAGGGCTGCGCTTACACTCGTCTGGACTGCCGCCTGCAGGGCCGGTTCCGGAGCCGCCACACGCGCCAGGCCATGCGGAAGCGGAACGAAAAGCTGGGACGCTACTTGCGTTCCAGCAGCGTCGGCCTTCATGCCTGTGTTCTCGCCCGTCGATGTGCCGCATCCTCGGGAATTTGGCCACTGCTCCTTGCATTTCGGCACGACGATGAAGCGGCATTGCCTAACACGGTATGGGTTATCTTCGCCCACAGACGTCTACGAGGGCCCAGCGGGGGTTTGGACCCGCCCAGGGCGGCCCAAGCCTTGTCCCGCCGTTTCCGCCCAGCCGCGCCGCCCCCCTTGCCCGAGGCGTCCTTCGCGCACTCCTCCCTCCCTCCCGGTCTCCCTTCGTCGCCGCGGTGTGCCCAGCGCTTTCCCCCGCGTCGCCCGCGGCTGTCCCCCATCTCACGTCCTGCCCCCCCTCTCCCCTCTCCCACCCTCCCTTCTCCTCTCGCTTCCTGTCTCCCTTCTCCTCCCTCCTCCCCCTTTCTCTCCCTCTACAATTACTCAATATGAAAATACTCTCCCTCTTCCCCTGATGGCGTCCGGGTGATGGCCGCGCACCCTCCGCGTACTGTTTTTTACACACAGGATTTTACACACAGGATTCCCGGGAAATCCCGGGAAACGACTCTCGCTGAGGCGCCGGCGTCATTTTTTCCCAAAATGTTGCTCTCGTTGAGGCGCCGGCCTCATTTCTGCTCCCGAATCGTTCCGAATCGTGCTCCCGCTGCAGCGTGGGCCTCATTTTCGGATCGGTGTTTGGCCTCCGTCGTTCAAGATGGCGTTCTCGCCCCAGCGCGGGCCTATTTCTCGCGCGCCCATCCGCCCGCCACCACCGCGCCGCACCGCCACCACCACCACCACCACCACCACCACCACCACCACCACAACCACCACCAGCACCAGCACCAGTACCAACACCACCACCACCAGCACCACCACCACCACAAGCACCACCACCGCCATCACCACCACCACCACCACCACCACCACTACCACCACCACCACCACCACCACCACGACAACCACGCACACACGCACGCACGCACGCACGTGCACCACCACCCACTACGCACGCGCGCGCGGAGCCACAGGTCCGCTACGACACGCGTCCGCGGATAGAGAAAATCAGCGCCATGGTAAGGGATGGGAGGGAGGGGTAGGACGTCAGATATGACGCGAGCGCACCTAGCTTGCCCCCCTCCCCTCCCTCTCCCCCTCCCCTCCCTCTCCCTCTCCCCCTCCCCTCCCTCCCGCCTCCCCCCTCCTTCCCCTCGTTTCCTGTTTCCCTTCTCCTCCCTCCTCCCCCTTCCCTCCCTCTCCCCCTCCCCTCCCTTCATCCCCCTCCCCTCCCTCTCCACCTCCCCTCCCTCCCTCCTCCCCCCTCCTTCCCCTCGTTTCCTGCCTCCCTTCTCCTCCCGAGCCCGCGTGTGCCCTCCTCTCCGCGCCCCCCCCCCCCTAAGGTGGAGGCGCTCCGCCAGGAGATCGAGCGCGTCGGCCAGCGCTCGGGCTACGCCCTGACCAGCCTGATGACGGACCGCACGTGGCGTCCTTCCTCCTGGTCCTGCTGTCGCTCCTGCTCGCCCGTGTGCTCTTCCGGCCCCCTTTCCGTCCCCCCCGTTTTCCTAGAGAGCTAAGCAAATTCATAGAATTAAAAGCAATGCCATCGTCCCCGACCAGCGGCCTGGCTCCTGCTCCAGCCAGCCATGGTGCCGCTGTTGCTTCTGCTGTTCCCGCCGCTCCCGCCCCTCCTCGTCGTCCACCTCAGAGCTGCGATTGGTCGTGTCTCTTGCTCGTAGCACGGCGCGTGGGCCCCGTGCAGGTCTGGACCTTTCTTCCTGGGGGCCGGCTTTTCATCACGGGCCGTGTTCTGACGGCTCCCTTTGCAAGTACGTCGACTTCGGCACCGCCTGATCCCGAGGCTTTGCCTCCTCCCGGCCTCGCTCTGAGGCTGCGCCCTCCCAATGGTTAATTCAATCTTCGCGCGGCCCGCTTAGCTTCGACCAGAAGAGGTGCGCTCTCGACCCGCGAATAAAAAAAAACGTGTTCTGACGGCTCCCGGGCTCTGTGCGGGCCCCCCCCAGAGGCCGACAAGGTTTAGCCGCCGTCCGTCGTGATATGGCTTCACGACGACAAGAGGTGCGGGGATCTTCCCTCTGACTGGATCTGCCGTGCGCTTGGTTGATGCTCCTATTTAGTCATCTGCGTCGAAATGCACGCCGCGTTATACGAATAGGCAGGGAGGATGTATCATCTGTCGCGTGTCAATTGAAACCCTAAGACCATAGGAATGCATCGTTCATGGCATAGTGAAGCAGGCGCTTTCTTTCAGGAGCGCGCCAATTGGGGGCCGAACCCTCCCCTTCCGCCTCCGCCACCTCCTCCTCGCCCTCGCCCCCCTCACTTTCTGTCACGTCCTCCTCACCCTCGCCTTCCTCACCGTCCCTCCTTGCTTATCGTATCGCCCTCCTCTTCCTCTACCTCCACCTTTCGCCCTCGCCCTCCTCGCCCTCACTCCTTGCAAGTCGCCCTGCCCTCCGCTACCTGTTCCGCTTCCCCTTTAGATTCCTATCACTTCTTTGTTCCTCCTCCATGGGCCTGCTCCTCTTCCAGCGCCTACATCCTATATCGCCCGCCTTCAGCCCCGCCCCGGTCCTCCGGCCCATCTTTGGCCCGTCGTCCTTCTCCCCTCCCCCTGCTCCTCCTCCTCCTCCCTCCTCCTCCTCCTCCTCCTCCTCCTCCTCCTCCTCCTCCTCCTCCCTCCCTCCCTCCCTCCCTCCCTCCCTCCCTCCTCCTCCCCTTCCAGCAGGCACCTCTTCGGGCGTCCCGCGCAAAGCGTGGCGGAGACAGCGACGACAAAGCAGGGCGAACATCGGCATGAACTGAAGGAACTTGCAAAGCAGGGCGGAAACGTCCGTCGCCCCAAAAGTACGGCGGATCCAGAGACAGGGCCCCCTGCCCTGGGGGCCCACCCGGCCCGGGCGGACAATGTGACGACCTAGGGTCGGTTTTGGAAGATTGTGAGAGATTTGAAAGTTCGTTTTGGACACCCCGGCCCGGGCGGACAATGTGGCAACCTGGGGCCGGTTTTTGGAAGATGGCGAGAAATCTGAAAGTTCGTCTTGTGAACCAGTAGTTTTCTCACGTCCCGGGGGCCGACGGACGGCGATGCCCGTCCGCCGTGGCTCCCGCCCACGACGAGAGGGGAGGCCTGCCCCCCCCTCCCCCCCCAGCCGCCGGCGCCCGCAGGAGTCCCTGTTCAACCCGCGCGCGTGGCTCCCAGGGTACATGCTGCGCAGGACCGGGGGCCTCCTGCGATCGCCGCGCCCCGCCGCTGGGGCTCGGAGGTCCCCCTCGGGGCCGGAGGCAGTCGGAGGCAGTCGGGTGGGGCGCTCCAGAGCGTCCTATGGAGCTTTCTCGGGGCGCCCCGGAGCGCTCCGAGAAGGCCGCGGCGCCCGCGGTGCATCCTCTACCCTGACTCCGGATCCGCCCTACTTTGGGGAAATTCGTAAGCAGGGCTTGGAATTTCCGCCTTATTTTTCAGGCCCCGCTGATGCCAATTTCCGCCCTACTTTTCTGTTGCTGTTTCCGCCCTGCTTCCGTGGATTTCCGCCCTACTTTATGTGTTGGGTGCAGAAATTTCCGCCCTGCTTTCTCGGCTTCTTACAGGTGGATTTCCGACGCAACTTTGAGTTGGAAAAAAAAAAAAAAGTAGGGCGGATCTGGAGTCAGAGCTGATTTTTTTGCGACGCGATCGTGTCTGGGGATGCAGCGGCGATGCGGCGCGATCCGACGTCCCCCTCCGCTCGGGACCCCGTCTGGCAGGGCCTCCCGGGATCGGGGGGCAGAGCCGCGGGAGCTTCGAGACCTCGGCCTGGTCCTCCTGCGACTCGGCCCTCGTCCTGGCGTCGCCGTGGGCAGCGTCGAGCGCCGCGAGCCTCTGCGGCCGCCCCGCTCGCAGCAGGCGGCCCGCCCGGGGCCCGCCCGCCCCGGGCCTCTCCGCGGTGGGGCGGAGGGCGGGCCGGCGGCGCGGCGGCGCGGCGGCGCGGGCGCGTGCGCGTGCGCGACGAGGCAGCCGCTCCGCGAGGGCCTCCAGCCCAGACGTGCTCGCGTCGTAAAACAAACATCAGGGCGGGAGGTTTCTGGCTCTCTTCGGCCCCGGGGGGCCCTCGCCGGGCCTCGGGAGCGTCAGAAAACGACTCGGGGCGAAAAACCGGTCCCGGGGAACGGGTCGGGGCTTCCAGGGGCGCCGTCTTGAAAACATCAGGACGTCGCATGTCTGGGAGGTCTGCTCGGCGCAGTATGGGGCACCTTGCGGCAGGGGCGCGGGGCGGCGCCCCTCTTCAGGGGGAACGTCGGGGGGGGGGGGGGGGGATGGGGCTCGGGGCGGTCGGCCCCCCCACCGCCCACGCATCACCGATATCGATAGGGGCCCGATAGCCCGCCTCGCCCGGGGATGTGCGGTGTCGCCATCTGGGGCGCATCGCCGATCCAGCGGTGACGTCTACTGCAGCTCTCTCGGGCGCGCCAGCGCCTCGGTGTGCCACAGTCCCCGCCCGCTTGGGGGGGCCCTGAAGATCTGCCATTGTCTCAGCTGGCCCTCGTCCGAGGGGAGGGAGCAGGGATGGGGACGACGACGAGGACGAGGACGAGGGTCCGGGCCTGCCAAGTTCGGCCAGGGCAGACGGTGTCGGAGGATCGTGCCGCGTCGCCGATGCATCGGCCCTGTCGCTCGCCCTGTCGCTTGCGCTGGGGCGTGAGCCTCCCTCTATGTGTGGGCGTAGCTCCAGTGCGCGGCCGGGCAGCAAGGGGGATCGGGTCGGACAGCTGGGGGGGATTGGGAAAGGGATGGGTACGACGCTTGCTGCATGCAGCTCGTTTCGGCTCCGCCGCCGGGCGCTTACTCCTGGGCGCCTTCGGCACTTGGAGGGAGGCCAGCTACGCAAGCTGATTCGCCAGCCTCCCGTTTGCTATTACTGCTCCCCCCCGCTCATCCGTCACCCGACAGGAGGTGGGAGGGAACAGGAGTCGCCATGAAGCAGAGGAGTCCTCGGGGACGCGGCTCCCGGAGGTTTCTGGCGGTCTTCGGGCTCTCCTGGGCCCTCCTCTCGGGCCGCTGGGCTGTCAGGAAACGAGTCGGGATGGAGAGCTGGTCACCCTGGTCCCGGCAGACGCCCCGGGAACTAGCACCTGCTTCCCTGAGGACCCCGCCCTTAATTGCCAAAGGAGGGGGGGAGAGGGAGTCTAAGAGTAGAGGATGAGGACGAGGACGAGGACGAGGACAGGAGACCAGGAGGGACAGTACGAGGAGGAGGAGGAAGAGGAGGGGGAGGAGGAGGAGGAGGAGGAGGAGGAGGAGGAGGAGGAGGAGGAGGAGGAGGAGGAAGAGGAGGAGAAGGAGGAGGAGGAGAAGAGGGCGATGCGCGGATGTTCGTTGAGAAGAATGGGGAGAAGGAGGAGGGCCAGTGTAAACTCAAGACGCGTAAAGATGCTGCAATAAACCTCCTTCCAACGATCTAATACATCTATCCCTTCTCTCTCCTCCTCCTCCTCCTCCTCCTCCTCCTCCTCCTCCTCCTCCTCCTCCTCCTCTTCCTCCTCCTCCTCCTCCTCCTCCTCCTCCTCCTCCTTGTTTGTGCCGCATGGCCTCGCACCGTCTTTCTCGCTCGTGGCTGTCCCAGCCGTTCTGCGTGTCCCGTCGCACGGCCTTTGCTTCGGACCGAGGAGCCACAGGGATGGTGGCTCTGTCGGCGACCGCGGCCTTGGGAGCTCCGCGGGCCCGCTTGAGATCCCTCTGGGGTGGCCAAAAACAGCCTCCTTCCAGGTTCCCCCTTCGTTGATCCCCACAATCACTGAAAAAACAGCCTCCTTCCAGGTTCCCCCTGCGCTGATCCCCACAGCCCTTCCCCGCGCAGCGCTCGCACCTGGGGGGCTCCTGCTCCTCTTCCAGAAGGCAGCGCCGAGCCCCGGTGCGGCTCCGGCCCGCTCCGTGGCCGCCCGTCGCCGCCCGCCGCCCGAGTGCCGCTCCGGCCAGCCCGTCGCCGCCCGTCGCCGCGCCGCGATCGCGCTGCCAGTCGTCGCAGTCCTCTGCGCGCTTGTGCTCCGCTCCGCGCTGCCCCGCGCCGCGCTGCGTCGCGCTGCTCCCCATGGCCTTGCCCTGCTCCGCGCTGCTTCGCAGGGATGCCTCGGCCTGCGCCGCGCCGCCGACGCCCTTTGGGGGAGAGTCGCTGCCGCGGCTTCTGGGCGCTGCGTGGCTTGTGCTTGCATTTGTAGCCAGTGGCCTTCGGCCCATCCCGCCACTGTGCCTGGGTTGTGGTTCCGGAGGAGGAGGAGGAGGAGGAGGAGGAGGAGGAGGAGGAGGAGGAGGAGGAGGAGGATGTTAGTGTGGATCTCGTGAGAGGCCTCTCGGGGGCCTGCCCGCGACAGTGTGGAGGCCTCTGGGGGGCTGCTTGGGGGCCTCTTGGGGCCTCTTTTGGGCCTCTTGGGGATCTCTTGGGAGCCCCTTGGGGCTCCCTGGGGGCCTTTCGGCGCCTCCTTTGCGCGGCGCCAGCGTTGAACGCACAGTTTTTGCGGCGCCGACCGTGTGGGCAGGGTGTCCCGCTGCAGGGGTCGTTCGGCCGTCCGCGCCAGGGCGCCCAACTCCGCAAAAGAAACCTCTTGGGGCCTCCTCTTGGGGCGGAAAGCTTGAATTTTTCGGTTCGTGGTCCCCTCCTTGGGCCCCTTTTGGGGCCCTCTTGGGGCCCTCTTGGGCTGTCTTGAGGCCCTCTTGGGCCGTCTTGGGGCCCTCTTAGGCCGTCTTGGGGCCTTCTTTGGGGCCTCTTGGGCCATCTTGGGGCGGTCTTGGGGGCCTCTTCGGCCGTCTTTCAGCGTCGGAAGCCCGAAAAGGTGAGAAAGCAAAACATTGTTTTAGAAACCCAATGACAATTAACGATTTTGGCCTCTTGGGAGGGCTCCTCGAAGCCTCTTGTGGCGTCGAGGAGGCATCTTGGGCCGTCTGGAGGCCATCTTGGGCGTCTTGGGACGATGTTTCGGCGACTCGGGGCCCTCTTGGACCGTCTTGGAGGTCTCTTGGGGTCCTCGTGGCCCGTTTTGAAGCCTCGATGCTCACTGGGCAGGATTTCTGCAGCAAAATACCTCCCCCGACCGGCCCGGATAGACCCCCCTCTCCAAATCGACCGGACCGGGCTCCCGGGGGAGGGGTTTGGAAAGCGGCAAGCATCTCACACGCCGATGAACCCCGAGGTGTCGGCGGATTTGCATTACTGTGCGTTTCATTGCGTTGCATTGCTTAGCATTGCATTGTGTTTCATAGCTTTGCGAAGTTTGGCATTGCTTTGCATTGCTTCGCATTGCTTCGCATCACATGGCTGTGCAGTGCTTTGCGATGCTCTACATTGCTTTGCATTGCGTTGAATTGTTTCGCATCGCTTTGTATTTTCTCGCATTGCGTTGCATAGCATTGCGTTGCATTGCTTTGCATTGTGTTGAATTGCGCTGCTTTGCTTCGTTGCCTTCCAACGCGTAGCTTGCACCACATGGGTTGCACCACCTAGATTGCTCCGCAAACATTGCAAGAAATCATCGTTTGGGACCCACGTCCCACGCTGGCTAACCTTGATTATCATTGCGGGAAGGGGCCATCAGAAAGCACCCCTTTGGGAAGCCCCAATCGTGTCAAGACACATTTCCTGGGATCTCATCGCCGTGGATCAACGTGACTGTTGTGTCCTGTAAATCCGAGATCGTGCCAGAAAATCAGTCCTGGGACTTCGGCACAGTGAAACAACGCTACGGTTACGTTCTGACAACCCTAAACCGTGTCAGAACATCATTCCTGGGACTTCGACGATACGAACCCTTGAAACTGTCGCAAACTGTTAGGACCAATGTGCGCGGCGCGCAAAGACGAGAACCACACTTTGACAAGGATCCCCTCTCCATCCGTGAAACTGCTGCAAAGTTTCAAGACGAGTGCGCGCGGCGCTAAGGCGAGAGCCACATTTTGAAAATTGGACTGCCTTCCATTTGGGATTTGCAGAATTTAACGACGAATGCGCGCGGGCGCGAAATCGAAAGCCACATCTTGAAATTGAACAAGGCCCGCGCTGCATTCCTGCAACGGTGGCATTTCCCACGCTATATGATCATAAGCGGTGAGGAGGCTTCAGGCGAAAAGCCCGGCCGCCATACACCGTCACGTCTGGGTGCGCGACCGGGAGGAGTTGGCCAGAAGGGGAGGGATGGAAGAGCGTGGACACGGTCCCGCCTCACTGGGCTTCGCCCGCTGCCGCTGTTGTCTCCCGGCATTTCTGGAGCCACCATTCGCTCTTGCAGGGACGCCCGCGCGGCGCGCCCCTCCAGTCAGGGGCAACGCCAGGGCTTGGCATCGCTCGGACGTGTGCATGTTTCCTTCGGCGAGGACCGTCGAGGAGCATCCTTGATCATTCCGCGAAAAAACCACGCACGAAGCCGAAAAAAACATAGGGAATGGACGTCCGAGCGATGGCCAGAGGGGGGGGACAACTAGGCTCAGGGCGGCACGCATCCACCCCCAATCGCCCACTGGTCGCCGATAGGGGCCCTTGGCATCGCTCGGACGTGTGCATTTTTCCTCGGCGAGAACCATCGAGGACCATCCTGGACCATCGAGCAAAAAAAACACGCACGAAATCGAACAATGCACGGGAAATGGACGTCCGAGCGACGGCAAGGGCCTGATCACCCACCCCGCCCAGGTCCGCCGTGCGGAGTTGCTATCGGGGGCCGATGGGCGATCCATCGGCGATGTATCGCCGATTCAAGCTCGAGGTTCCGCCCTGAGTCGGTCCCCCCCGTTAGCTTCCCCCATCACCTCCAGAAGGAAAGCCTTCACCATCGCGTACCTCAGCATCATGGCGGCCGACGGCAACAAGTCCGCGTCGAAGTCTGCGGGGGGGGGGGGACAGGAGCTGCTGCCGATTGCTGGTGCCGTCGGTGGCGCGGCGTAGTTCGGGAGGCGCGATCCTCTGGCGCGCACTGCTTTTCGAAGCAGGGTGGCGCCAGATCCTTAGAAGGTGAGGAGGGGGACGAGGAGAAGAGGAGGAGAAGGAGGAGGAGGAAGAGGGCTGAGGAGGAGGCACGCAGACGATGAGGAGGAGATATGGAAGGCGGGGGAGGAGGAGAAGGAGCACGATAAGTCGGAGGAGGAGGCGGAAGAAGAAGAAGAAGAAGAAGACAAGAGAACCAGGAACTGGAGGGGGAGGAGGAGGAGGAGGAGGAGGAGGAGGAGGAGGAGGAGGAGGAGGAGGAGGAGGAGGAGGAGGAGGAGGAGGAGGAGGAGGAGGATGAGGAGGAGGAGGAGGAGGAGGAGGAGGAGGAGGAGGAGGAGGAGGAGGAGGGAGGAGGAGGAGGAGGAGGGAGGAGGAGGAGGGACCTCGTGATCTGCGCCAGGTGCAGCGCCCGGCGGCCCCTGCCTCGCGATTTGGGCTGCCATTGGTACCTGATGCGGCACACGGCGAGGGCTCTCCGGAACCACTGCGGCGTGTGCGGAAATATGGCGCCTCCTCCTCCTCCTCCCTCCTCCTCCTCCTCCTCCTCCTCTCTCCTCTCCCTCCCTCCTCCTCCTCCCTCCCCTCCACCTCCCCCTCCCCCTCCTCCCCTCGATATCACCACACTTGCCCTGCCGCCCCCCCCCCCCCTCCGGCGCGCCGCCACGCCAGGCGGCGCCAGGCGGCGAGGGCTCTCCAGAACCAAAAAAGTGGGGATGACGCGAATCGGTCGCACCGCGGGATGCGGTGTGTCCGGTCTCGCCGTGCGCGGGGCAAGCCGATAGCTGCGCTGGGGGCCTCGCGTGTGCGGAAACATGGGGATGACGCGAAACAAATAAATCGGGGATGACGCGAATCGGTCGCACCGCGGGATGCGGTGTGTCCGGTCTCGCCGTGCGCGGGGCAAGCCGATAGCTGCGCTGGGGGCCTCGCGTCGCGGCTGCGCAGCGGGCCCGGGGCCCTCGAGCCGAGACTGCGGGAGGAGGGAGGGAGGAGGCCCTGTGCAAGCCCAAGACGCATCAACGATGCTGAAATACACCTTCCCTTTCGGATCCCACTTCATAGTCCCTACAAGGGGAACAGTTCCACTAAAGGAATTGTCCCGTTGGGGGGACAACCATGTGAACATCCTGAAGCGTCCCAACACACCGTTCTCAGGACGCCAGCGCCACGAGCTAACCTGACTGTTCCGTCCTGGCGAGCCTGAATCGCGCCAGAACACCATTCCTGGGACTTCAACACTGCGATCAACGTAACTAGTGCGCCCTGACAATCTTGAACCACTCCAAAACACGATTTCAGGTACGTGACACATGAGAATCAGTGAACCTCTTGAAAATGTTTAAAACGAATGCGCGCAGCGCAAAGGCGAGAGCCACACTTTGAAAAGGAGCCGGCCTCGATTCGCGAAGCTCTTCAATCGGTTTGAAACGAATATGCGCGGCGCTAAGGCGAGAGTCACAATTTGAAACGGACCGCCTTCATTCGGTGAAGCTCTTAACATTTGTATGAACGAATGTGCGCGGCGCTCAGGCGAGAGCTACATTTGAAAACCTCCAGCCCTCACTCCGCGAAGTTCTTGCAATGTTTTTTTCTGAAAATAACTCAAAGCTTCGATTTAAAAAGCGAGTGCGCGCGTCGCTAAGGCGAGAGCCACATCTTGAACACCACCCGCCCTTAATCCGTGAAACCCTTGTAAATGTTTGAAAAGAATGCGCTCGGCGCTAAATGGAGAGCCACATGTTGAAAACCACCCGCTCTCATTTCGTGAAGATCGTGCAACTTTTGATCTTTTGTTATAAGAAAGTGCGCGCGGCGCTAAGGCCACAGCCACATGATTCACATGATGGAAACCAGCCTCCCTCAATCCGCGAAGCTCTCTCTTGCACATGTTTAAAAGCGCTGGGGCGAGAACCACATTTTGAAAACCACCCGCCCTCAATCCGTGAACCTTTTGCAAATGTATAAAGAAAGTGTGCGCGGCGCTAAATGCGAGAGCCACATTTCGAAAACCACTCACCCTCCACCTGTGAAGCTTTTGCAAATGTTTGAAGCGAATGTGCGCGGCGCTAACGCGAAAGTCACATTTTGAAAACCACCCACCCTCCTTCTGTGAAGGTGCTGTCAATGTTTAAGCACCAGGTTCGTAAATGGTGAGGGAGTTTCAGGCGAAACGCCCGGCGCGCTCTGTCGACCCGTTTGAGTGCGACAGGGAGGAGTTAGTTATAAGGAAAAGGAAGTGAGGAGGAGGAGGAGGAGGAGGAGGAGGAGGAGGAGGAGGAGGAGGAGGAGGAGAGAAGACCAGTGGAAACCCAAGGTTCATCAACGATTTTGGAATTAACCCAACCCTCCCTCCAAGCTCCCTCTTCATAGGCCCCATACAACGGTTCATTTCCATTGTGGGAACGGTTCGTTTCCATTGAGGGAATTGCCTCGTTGGAAGACAACAGTTTGAAGATCCTGACGCGTGCCAAAACATCGTTCTCGGGATTTCAACGCCACGTATCAACCTGACTGCTGCGTCTTGACGATCCAAAATCGTGCCAGAACGCCGTTTTGGGGATTTCAACACAGGGAATCAACATAACTGTTGCGCCCACATAATCCTGAATCCTTCCTAACACAATTTCTGGCACGTTGATCATGGGACTCCGTGAAATTCTTGCAGTTTTTCAAGACAAGAAACGAATGTGCGCGGCGCTGAGACCAGAGCCACATTTTGAAAAGGAACCGTCTTCAATACGTGAAATTCCTGCAAATGTTCAAAACGAGTGTGCGCGGTGCTGAATCGAGAGCCACATGTTGAAAATGACCCGCCCTCAATCCGTGAAGCTCTTGCGAATTCTTAAAACGAGTGTGCGAGGCGCTAAGGCGAGAGCCACATGTTGAAAACCACTCGCCCTTAATCCGTGAAACTTTTACAAATGTTTAAAAGGAATGCGCGCGGCGCTAAGGCGAGAGCCACATTTTGAAAACCACACGCCCTCAATCCGTGAAGCTCTTGCAAATTGTCAAAACGAATGTGCGCGGCGCTAAGGCGAGAGCCACATGTTGAATACCACACGCCCTCCATATGTGAAAGTGCTGCCACTTTTTAAGCTTCAGAGTCATAAGTGGTGAGGAAGTCGCAAGCGAAACATCCGGCCCGCTCTAAAAACTGGCTTCGGGGTGCGACAGGGAGGAGTTATCTACAAGGGCAAGGAATGGAGGAGGAGCAGGAAGGGGAGGAGGACGAAGACTGGCCCGTGCCTGAAGCGCCGCCGGCAGCCTGCCAGCCGCCGCGTTCCTTGCCTTCCTCCTCCTTATCCCCCCGCCCTGGGCCACGTCCCCCTCCTCTTGTTCCTCTCCGCCCTCTTCCCAGACCCCCGACGTCATGATTTTTTCATGACGCGACCCCCCAGAGGTCCAGACCCATTCCCCGGGACTGGCTTTTCATCCCGAGCCGTTTTTTGACAGTCCCGTTGCCCGGTGAGGGCCCCCAGAGGCCGAAAATAGCGAAAAACCTCCCGTCGTGATTTTTTCATGACTCGAGGAGGTCTGGGTCTCTTCAGCTCCGCCCGAGCCGCCTCGCGCGGCCCCCCGACGGCGACGGCGACGGCGACGGCGACGGCGACGGCGACGGCGACGGCGACGGCGACGACGACGACGACGACGACGACGACGACGACGACGACGACGACGGCGACGGCGACGGCGACGGCGACGGCGACGGCCACGACGACGACGGCGACGGCGACGGCGACGGCAACGAGACGACGACTACTGCCAAAACCACCAGGACGACCACGACCAGGTTCCCCGTCCTCCGAGCGCCGCTTCCCAGCTGGTTGCCGGCCCTCGCGCGCGCGTGCGTGTAAGTTGCTTTTGCGGGTGGAGCGCTGGGCCTGCAGGCAGCCCCGCGGCCCCGTCGGACTGGTTTTCCCGGAGAAGGCGGACCCAGGCCCTCGACGACATCTCTGCGTCACTCCTCCTCCTCCTCCTCCTCCTCCTCCTCCCTCCTCCTCCTCCAGGTGGCTCCGCAGCGAGGCCCCACGCGTGCCGTTTGCCCCGCGGCGGGCGCACGCGGGCGGGCCCGCGCCATCGGGGCCCCCAGCGCCAGGCGGCGCGTCCAGCGAGGAGGAGGCGGCGGCGGCGGCGCCGCCAGGACGGCGACGCGCGAGCGCTCGCCCGCCTGGCACAGGCGCGAGCGCCGCGAGCGTGCCCAGGCGCGCCGCGACCTCAGGGCGAGGCTGCAGATCCAGCTGCTGAGCTAGCACCACGGCAGCACGCCCCCGTCGTCGGGCAGCAGAATGGGACGCTCAGCCGACTACACCGTCTGCAAGTCCTGCGGACAGTGGTGGTGGAACTCGAAGTTGGATGGCATGAACTACCGCTGCGGGACCTGCGACAAGATGCTGCCCAAGCCGAAGAGCCCCAAGGGCCACGCGGCGGAGGCGGCGACCAGAGGAGGCGGCGGCAGCAGCGGCAGCGCTGGAGGCGGCAAGGCCAGCGGCAAGGGCAAAGGGCCCGAGCAGCTGGCGCAGGCGCTGCAGCTCATCACCGCCTCCCTCGGCCAGCTGCAGATCGAGGGCAGCGAGACGATCACCAAGCAGATCCAGGTGGCTACATCGGCACTGCAGTCGGCCAAGACGACGGCCCCGCAGAAGCCGAGAGCCGAGAGGATGGCAGCCGCAGCGCGAGCACTGCAGTCAGCGCAGCGGCAGTACTCGCAGGCGTTCGCGGCGAAGCAGAAAGCAGAGGAGGAGGCGCGCAAGGCGCGCGAGCTGCTGGAGGAGAAGGCCAGCGCAGTCCTGCAGGCCGAAGCGGAGTGCGATGCGATCCACCAGGAGGGAAAGCAGGCTCCCACGGCGGGCATCATCGAGCAGCTGGTGTCGGGACAGCTCGACGAGCTGACGGG